ACGGGTTTGTGTGGCACGTAGCGCCATCCGGCTGGAACCAGAGCTCGCCCAAGTCCACTTCGTCAATTTCTGGCCACAAAAATCTGTTACCATGCTTCTGTAGCGCAGTCCGTTGACCATCACGTTGATGCCATCCTCATTGGAAGAAATAAACTTTTAGTAAATCCAAATATTCATGCTTAAACGCTTATGTTATACGTAATTTTTTTAAGTATTTTAAATACACATAATTTTAATAAAGATATTAATAGTTACTTTGCAACCACCCGCTCAATAAAATCAAATGACGTGTCTTACCTAGTTTGAAGAGCACCTACCACCCTCCCTACCTCAATTGCGTGCACTAATCCCGCCACACAATAGTCCCGGCACCACTACTTCCAACACCACTATTCTAGGTAAGACACACCATCAACGATAATACGACACGTGTTTCGGCTGACCGCTAAGTATTTATTGGTGCTCTTCATACTAGGTAAGACACATCATTTTAGTTAATTGAGCAGATGGTTGCAAAGTAACTGTTAATATTTTTGTTATAATGGATTTCCGCAAAGTAACGCCTGATTCTATCAATTAACACACAAGTTTAAACAAATAACCTTATTACTATTACTTCTAATTTTCCGATAATGTTATGTCAAACGTCAATAAAAAAGACGTGTGGCACTCGGGGACTGCCGCGGTAAAGCTATTGCATAGCATTTTGTATCAACTTATGCAATTATAATTATTTATTTATTTTATTTATGCAGTATTTCTTATTCTTTGATATTAATTCAAGTTACTTAGGTTAATCCAATCAAATTCAACCAGATTTAACCGAACCCGCGTTATAACGAACTCACTATTTGTGAAAAATACTGTATCACCGGACCGCGTCGCAAAAAACTCAGGTTCGCGCAGTACATACGTCAGGGCGGCCGTACGGCAATTATATTAACAAGACGCGCAACTACTCAGTTCCACGCTCCACGGCAAGATTTGTCACTTATTATTTATTGTCCAATTAATTGTCTTTAAGTTCAAATGGCACGCTCTATTAACATAAGTCTAAGACAAAACAAGGAGACTTTCAATATATGAACAACCCGGCTTCGCGTTTGTGTTAGTAAAATAAGCTCTTATTAAGTTAGCTTAGAGTTTAAATTAGTGTAAGCTATACGCAATCCTTGTGGCATAATGAATGTAGGTAGTATTTTATTGACTCCCATTGTCTCGGCCGACGCGACGGTTGGACCGTAAACGTAAACAGATGACGCTTTCTAACGATAATGAATATAATATTATAACAGTCAATGGTTCATTATTCTAATGTGTTGTAAGATTAAAAATATATAATGAAATATATTATCTATTGTATGTTATAACGCCCAACTTTAGGGGTGACCGACTGCGCGCACAAATGCAGCTAGCCTCCCCCTCCCGCACCTCACTAATCGTCGCTTCACACCGCTTGAGATAAGACGATCTACTATCAGGCGCTAACAAACCCCCGTCCCGGACATAAGGATCTATGTCCGCGAGTAAATTGGCAATTAGAAGACGCTTTGTATTGTTGGTTTTTACAAAAACGATCAACTGGGCAAATGATATCTGGCCCTTTGCTTTGTGAAAAAGCATTACAATTAAATAAAAAATTAGGTGACGGCGGCTCGTTTGTCGCAAGTAACGGATGGTTATGTAGATTTATATTTCTTCATGGAATTTAATCAATGTTTATTAAAAAATAATAATTTCTTAATAAACATTGATTTTCGTTGAAATTGTTGTTTTTAATAAACACATAACATTATGTATGTACATATGTACTACAAATGCACAAAACCCCCCTTTTCTTCATACATTCGATCATCCGGATTTTCGATTATCCGAATCCCTAACGGCAACAATTAGTCCGGTTAATCGAGTATATATATACATATTGAGAATCTAAATTGAGAATTTAAACTATACGCGTGTGTGTGTTTGTGTGTATATAAAGAGGGCTACTTTTAATATCGCTCATTTTAATATCAAAAATTTAGGTTATCTTTATAGCAGTATTATATTTTCAATTCAAAATTAGTACTGCATTTGTGATAATAATAAAATGTAGGTATGTATATAGAGTACTCACTCATTTTCTTTCACTATTTTTTCGTGACTTTCTTCATTAATAATAAATGCACTTTGTTCATTCATATTCAAAATTTCAAAACACTTTATACACAAACACCGTGTCGAAAGGAAAAGAAACGACGTTAGACCATCGTTAGACAATGCACAAGCCACACCTCCGTGCCCGTCGGAGAGCGTGAGGTTTTTTTTCGTTACGAAATTTCTGGATTTTCCCGCACTCAAGGCCCGCGATAGAAGCTATGCAATAGCTTAATAAGTTTGGAAAATCCAGAAGTGCACGACTTATAATGCTCATATGATCGTAAAAAATGTAGCAAAAAATTCTCAATCAACAATTAAAAAATTTATTTTTATTTTTCTATGTTATGATTATTGAGATTCATTTTTTTTATTATTGTTAATTAAAAAAACTTTTAACAAAATTTTTTATTTTAAAACGATCAGAAATCAAATTTAATATTACTTTAATTTTTTCGTATTTGTACTCAGGCATTATTGTGAAACTAATCTTTTTTACCTAACTCGTTAATAATATTTTTTCTCATCAATTTTATTTCGTTTTCAAAAAAATTTTCATCTAGTCATAACCAGTATTTAAATTTAGCATTCACCAAAGTACACCTTCAGGTCACTCCTTAAAGTCCAAGACGTATAAGTATATTTATATAAAAATCCTACGTACTTTTAGCGAAACAATATGTTATGAAAATTTTATAACAATAATAACAATATCTTACATAAATACCCCGGTCAAGTATGTATCAAATTCGGTTTTTGGAAAATTCTGTATTTCTACAGCGATCGATATTTTTCATCACAATCTGCTGTAAACAAACGATTATCAACCACTCATGACGGCGGCTGTGCCCGGAGCCCGGAGTGAGTCAAAGTGTTTTTTTTTTTTATAGAATAGGGTGACAAACGAGCACACAGTCCACCTGATGGTAAGTGGTTGCTGCGGCCCATAGACATCTACATCTATCTTCCATTACAAATCAAAATGCAGATGCGTTGTCACCCGCGAGGACTGAGATGGAATGACTCATTTCCAGTAACAAGGGTCTCCGGTTCTCTACACTCACCATACGAAATACAGCAGCATTAAGCTACTATTTCACGCTGGTATTCTGTGAGAGCGTGGTCCTTCCCCGGTCGAGCCGACCCATTCGTGCTACAACTATACTACTAATATAACTGCAGCATGGCTCTACCACGTAGAAGTGTATCTGTGTTTAGTAAAATATATTATTACAAGGCTGCTCAAACACCGAAAATTTAGGAATTTTGTCAGCAGAAAAATTTACTATAACTAAACATGGTAGATTTAGAGATTAAAAAATAGATTGAGTTGAACAATGGATATTTTAAAAAGTTATCATGTTTACTCCTTCATGCGGACTTGATACGGTCACTTAAACCACTTTTTTATATAAAAATCTCAATTAATCGAGTTGAAAAAAAATTATAAGTTCAACAATCATTTATCTTTATGATAATGTGCTTTTTACATAATTTATATGTTCAATATGATTGTTAGAAACGATTTCATGCGACAAAACGTCGGATTCTTGCTCTCTTGGTTCGCTAGTGGAACCTACGTGCACCTACCTACACGCTTTATGTATGCAAAATGGAACAATAATACCGCCATAATGATTTCTTATATTTACGCGAACACTACACATTGATTAAAACTACTTTTACGGATTTTATCGCGTTTTATTTATTTTATTTTTAATACCCGACGTTTAATCCGTAAAAAGTAGTTTTAATCAATAATACCGCCACTCCAAAAACCACACCACACAATTACACGCTAAGGATGAATTGGTTTCTCTACGGCTACGTGGGGGTTTTTCGAGCCCCAAAGACGACAGTTTTGCTTGTTCACATAGCCGCTGAGATGAAAATGCGCCTCTTTCGAAATCGAAAATATTGTTTTTTGAGCAAAATCAATGACAATTTCTAGCTGCTCTAAAGCCCAAACAGAGAAGCGATAACGAAGCGGGTGGTCATTTTGCTTTAATTCCGTAGTCAGTAGTTGTATCTTGCAATGGAATAATCCAAGGTTCTTATGCAAAATTCTCCTCAAGCTAGTGCGACTAATATTCAGTTGCTGAGATTTGTGGCGAGTAGAAGTTCCCGGGTTTTGGCTTTTGGCACACATTTTTGCCAACAGCAGCAATATTCTCGGCTGAGCGCACAGGACGAACACGTAGACAAGTGGTGTTATCAACTAATATGCTCATCTCACACCTTTCAACTTTCTTCACAAACTTGCGTACTGCAGACCCGATTGGTACATTATTTCGACCGAAATTTCTTTTCAAAATTTACGCTGTTTCGGCGACACAGCACTCACTTTGGAAATAAGTTTTCAATATTTCCCAACGTTGTTCAAGCTTTAGTCGATTCATTTAATGCCGCGAAGTTATGATACTGTGTTTCTCTGAATTTGTTGAGTACGAGGGAGCTGTTAGTTTCAATATAGCAAGTAATTTAAAAAGAAACCAGCAGATGGCTCACCCTTTATTATTTATAGAAGTCTTTGTGCTTTGTCCAACCTAGCACTTTAAGAAAATTATCTTACATAAAGTAATTGTAGTTAATTATTATTTTTATTTTATTTTTATTCTATATATTGCGACACCTAAGTCTAATTCTCGCCACTACATGGGTTGACCGGCAAACAATGCCTCAAGGCATTAAGACCGGCCTTTGCATTATTGTGTTAAAATTAAACCCTTTTACTGGAAACGAGACATTCCATATTAGTACTCAGTGCATTTTGATGCTTAATCGAGGATAGACGTAGATAGATGTACATGGGCCACAGCATCCACTTACCATCAGATGGATTGTGTGCTCGTTTGTCGCTCTTATTCTATAAAAGCAAACGACGAACCAAAACCTAGCGCCTTGGGCACTGCAGCGAGCGCGAGCGCACGGCTCTCGCGACGCCGCAGCACGCCGCAGCGTGCGTACAGCGCGCAGCCCGCCGCCAGCAACCACACGCTGCTGACCTCTGCACACACGCACACACGTCAACGTGATAGAGTTATGCAGCTATACTATGCATGTAGCACGAATGGATAAGCTTCACCGGAAAAGGACAACGCTCTCAGTGAAAACCAGTCAAAAACCAACATACTCTTAAATACCAGCGGAAAATAACAGCATAATACTGCTGTTTTTCATACGTTGATTGTTGAGAACCAGATACCCTTATTGGAAATGGGCATTCTATCTTAGTTCTCAAATGTAATAACGCATTTTGATTTTTAATCGAGAATAGATGTAGATGTCTATAGGCCACAGCATCCACTTGCCATCAGGTGGACTGTGTGCTCGTTTTTGACCCTTATTCTATAAAAACACACATTTTTGACAACCAGTCCAGTACAATTAGCCTTACCATTATTTTTAAGCTATTGCATAGTTTCTATCGCGGGCCTTGAGCGCGGGGACCGAATCCAGAAATTCCGTAACGAAAAAAAACCTCACGTTCCCCACTCCGACGGGCACGGAGGTGTGACGTTGAAAGCCGTGCATCGTCTAACGTCGTTTCAGTTCGGCAGACTTCGGCACTCGGCAAACTTCGGCACGGTGTTTGTGTGCGTGCGACTAGACGTATGCGTGTACACTAGCTGCTCACTCAATGATAAAAATTCCTGAATAACCTACATGTATTGTAAGATATTAAAAATATTTTAAACAATATTAACTTCTCATTTATTCAATAAGAGAAAAAAAATTGTTTTCTTATCGGTCACCACGCTCAAAAAGTGTAACTTGATTTAATATCAAAGACTTAACTGCATAAATAAAATAAATAAATAATTATAATTGCATAAATTGATAAAAAATGCTATGCAATAGCTTTACCGCGGCAGTCACCGAGTGCCACACGTATTTTTTTATTGAAGTGCGGGCAAATCATCCTGCGGCTCACCTTATGGAAAGTGTCGACCACCACCAACGGGCAACTGCAACACCATGGAAATTGCTGGTGCGTTACCAGCCATTTATTTATTTATTCATTACAGATAAAAGTTCAACGCTGGACATAGGTCTGCCCATTAACCCAATTTTGTAGTACATTTTTGATGGTTTGAGGCTTCACGAATAGCTTGATCAATATATTTCTAAGTACCTGAATTGTTTCTGGATGGTCAGAATAACATTTGTGGCGTTAAATCACAGCTCCGGGGAGGCCAAGTTACACCACCCAAACGGCCGATTAGATGATTATTGAAATTCGAGCGCAAAAGATCGATTGTTGGACGGGTTGATTGGCACGTAGCGCCATCCGGCTGGAACCAGAGCTTGCCCAAGTCCACTTCGTCAATTTCTAGCCACAAGAAATCTGTGACTGCAGCACAGTCCAATGACCGTGACATTGTTACCATCTTCATCTTTGAAGAAAAATGGAACAATAATGTCGCCAATTCAAAAACCACACCAAACAGTTACACGCTGAGAATGGATTGGTTTCTCTACGACTACGTGTGGGTTTTCGAGCCTCAAATATGACAGTTTTGCTTGTTCACACAGCCTTCGAGATACACACACATATAGATTGCCTAATAAGAGGTATATTCGCCATAGTTTCCACGCTCCGCAGGCGGATTCGCATTCTAGTTGTTATTATAAAGACGCTTCTAACCATCTCCTGGTTTGTTTCTGTCTATCACCTTTTACTACACACACGGAACTACGCGGTTCAGTGATATTTGCGAAACGAAAATTCGTAGTATTCAGGTCAGGTTTTACTGTCTACAACACTGCATCTTAGCCAACCCCTAATCTGAACGCATACACGTTACGTCAGGCACGGGTTAAAATTCTCTGTTATCGCATTTACTTGTGGCATTGCGCTTTTGATAACTTGTGTCTCTGTCTCATATGTAAAAAATACTAATTACCAAACATAGGTCCAATGAATTCATAGTACAATCTAGCGTACCACAAGGGTCACATTCGGGACCTATTCTGTTTCTAACGTTCATAAATGACTTAATTTCACATATGCAATATTTTATTGTGCTGATTTCAAAAAATTTTAACAACAAAATTAATACGAATGAAATACACCAAAAGCTACATTTTATTAATAGATGCTTGTTATATTTTTTTACATATCTAGTATCTTGTCGCACTGAACGCAGTGGAGAAAATGATTGAGAGGGCCTCACGATTGCTTTGTTAAGTTATTATCATTTAGTTTTCCGGTCGTCGTTGAGCCAATTTAATACAAATTTTAATCGATCCAGTTTCAGAAGAGATAATATAAGAATACGAGATGATTATTTCGTCAATTTTTCCATAGGTATAATCAGTCCAAAGCTTGCCTTTTTCAGATATTTAGCTCGATCGTACCGGCACAGTACGACAGCAATAAATCTGTTAAAACCTATTTTACAAATGTCTTGCCGCCCGCACTTCCTCTAAAAGACAGCATTATATTACAAATATAAATCAAAGGTTTGCTTCTTTACACAATACCTTCCTAAAACTCAAAAAATCCTTACCTAAAAACAACGTAGCCATCACATCACCAACATATAAACTACCCTCTGCGTCCCTCAGAAGCGCACAGCACTCGATATAGAGCAGCAGCAGCGCTAACAACTGGCTGGTGGTGTGGTCAGTGCGGCGACACGGCCGGCAGCAGCCCAGCGCGAACGGTACCAGCGTCGTCAGCACCGTCCACAGCACTATACGCAGCGGTGGCAGAGACATATGTCCACACTAAACGTGCAAAAAATATAAGTGGGAAGCCGTGGAAAAACGTAATAAATGTAGTCAATACCCACAATATTCACATATACGCCTTTTGGTAGTTATGTAGATTTTAAATATTGCAATAAGTGAGATGTATCGAAGCTGTTAGTGTGCCAAATAAAATAAATCAATAAAGAATTCGCTTGATGCCGAATCAAGCAAAGAATAAAACCTACTAGAATTAAGAACTAGGTCTAAGCATAGAATTATCAAATCAAATCAAATAATTTATTTGTAAAACATATGTAAAAATTTACAAACTTGGTGGAAAAGGTGTGATAAGTAACACTATGTTTCGCTTTAAAAGGCTTACAAATATATGGTTATCATTATCACTTGGCGTTATGAATATCAATATTTTAACATGACAATTTCAATTATAATTGGTATGTTTAGAAATAACATAAATTATTATTTTAATTGTCAATTACATAATTCTTAATAACATAAAGATAAAAATATATTATAATTAGGTATTGATAAGGAAATAACATGTGTTATTGATATAGAATAGAGAAAAATAATTTTAAATATAACCTTCTACTCCTTCAGCCGTCAAAAGTCCACTGCTGGACATGGGCATTTCTTGTTGTAGGGACAATTTGCCTTAATTGTTACACTTGGCAGGCGCATTGAGCCCTAAACACTTAAAAATAACAGTTTTAAAATTTTAAAAATGCTGCTTAGAAGCCTAAAATCGTAAATTGAACTGCGACATTAACGACACTAAAATTTAATATAACTTATAATCTTCATATGAAGTACCACTGTTTGTAACGTTTTGATACAGTAGTACTTGCTCTTAACGCTCAGCTCGTATGTCCTAAATATCGGCGAGTAAAGATGTAATATCTCTTTTTAAATTTTTAATCAGCTCAAATATAGATAATTGTTCGTTTCAATCATGCCCAGAATTTAGATCATCAACAAAGAAACACTGTTTTAGTTTATAATATAAGTACAGAATAGTGAGTGAACTAACGAAAAACAGCAGCGAGAGGGGAGCGGCGAGCAAGGAGAGCGCGTAGTTGAGCGCGACCAGGGCTGGTGCCACCGGTGCGGAACTGCGGCCCAGAGTCAGCGCCAGCCAGCCGCAAGGCCCGCGTGACCGTGCCACCAGTGCGCTGCAATCATATAATAACAACCATAGAATACTATAATACACAATAGAATGGCTGTCAACTTTATTTTGTACGAGGCTTGGCTTCGCCAAACCCGATTCGCTGTGTTGACAGACTGAATAAATGTACACATATTAGACTTTTGATTAGTGTTTAAGATCATCATTAAAAATCGTTTAAATTTTAATACTTATTTATTTGTAAATAGGGTGCAATTTGGCATATTCTAAATAATTTGCATGCGAAATTTGGAAACGATTGTAACGTCAAAACACATCTCGAGTTGACATTTATACGTGTGAATTGACGTGTTAGTGACATTTTAGTGGATACGCGGGATCCGCCTACATCCCCATTCCATTATGTATATATTATAGTTCTATGATAACAACCGACTTCATTACTACTAGCATAAGCAAAGGAAATATGGTCATCCGATTAATATGGTCACTTTCTTATAACTCAAAAACTACAGGTTTGTTTGCATTTTTTACAAAAGAAGGGTCAAAGGAGCATGCGGCTCATTTGATGACAAGTGTCAACCACCGCCCGTGAAGAACTGCAACACAAGGGGAAATGCAGGTAATTTACCGGGCTATTAAAAGGGAGTAAGCTCGTTTCTTGAAGGTCTCCATGTCGTATCAGTGCGGAAAAATCGCCGGTAGTAAACAATTTCACAAAGTAGTCGAGCGAGGAAGAAATCCCCTAGTAAATCGCAAAGAGGTGTAACATATCTTCGCAGCGTCAGTGAATCCAGCCGATCGCAGAGAACTCGGTCGTCGACTATTTTACACTAGATTCGGTCAAGTGAAAGGAGCTGGCACTGGAGAGACCAAGCATAGAGATGGGAACAGTATTCTATGTTAGGCTGAACCTTGTAAAGTTGCAAGCGGTGTGTCGCCATGAAATACTGTCCCGCTACACAAACTTGTGTTTGTCATAAACGGCTAAATTCCAGCTCCTTTGCACGCTCGTCTTTCAGTTCCTAGTTGCACATACAAGTTCAAAAATTACAAAGTTGAAAAACCAGATTAACAAAACAAGCCACGCTGCAGCTATATAATGGTTGTAGCTCGTGCTATAACCATTATATTCTCAACCATTCGTATCGTATTCGTGGGTCGGCTCGACCGGGGAAAGGCCACGCTCTCTATTTTACGCTGGTGCTCTCACAGAACACCAGCGTAATACTGCTGTGTTTCATATGGTGAATGTAGTGATACGGAGACCCTTTTTTACTGGAAACGTGACATAACATCTTAGTCCTCACGGGTGACAACGCATCTGCATTTTGATTCGTAATCGAGGATAGATGTAGATGCCTATGGGCCACAGCGACCACTTACTTCAGGTGGACTGTGTGCTCATTAGTCACCCTCATAAAAAAAAAAATTTTTATGCGTTTCTCTAAATTTGTCCATGAATGCAGTTTCTTTGCAAAATGTATAGATACATATACATGGCCGCTAGAGGGGCGCCGATGAGGTGCCAGCCTAAGGCGCTGTCGACATTTAATCCGCCGCTAATTTCATCCTATCAAAAGTCCACATTTGGCCTACACAATAGGCCTCCTCCATAGATTGTCTTATAGGGGTGATTTTGCACTAATTTCCTCGCTACATAGGCGGTTAGCAAACACATATTTTAATATTTTCATTTATCCGGGAAATGCTGAATAGCCCGTATGATCATGAGTGTGCAGTAAAAGGCGACAGAGGGAAACTGAAATATGAAATGGGCAACAGTATCTTTCCAATAACAACACAAAATTGTAAAAAAACTGCGCATGCCAACCCGCTTGCCACACGTGGCAACTATGCTAAAATTCCTCCTGTAAAGCTATATTTTATTTAGGGGAGGCGTATGTTCAGCAGTGGACTTTTCATAGGCTGTAGTGGTAATTGTTGATCACTTCAAAAATTGTGAAAGTCCTAATGGGGCTATCGGGCAAGCTCACCCCTGCAGCAGACGCGGGTCGAGGCGAAGATCGCGCAGAGCGAGTGTGGCGGCGGCGTAGAGAGCGGGTGCGGCAGCATGCGCGTGCAGTGCGGACAGCACTGGGAGCCGCGCGCGGACCCCCCGCAGCCCCTGCACCAAACCCGCTCCCAACCCCGCACCCGTCCGCCGTCCCCCCGCGTAGTAGATATACCACAGCGACGCGTACCGCAACGCCTCCGTACGCAGCGCGAACCGCTCCCTCCCTGCGGGAGACGCCTCTGCTTATTTATTCCCCTCGAGGGACCCCATAATCACATCGATCCCTAGCTAGGAGCCTCACTCCAAAAGCAGGGGTTGGGGTGCCGCGGAACTGCAGAATGTTTGCACTCAATAGCTTCTTTAAGCTCCTTTGACTTTTGGTAGGGAAGAACCTCATTTAAGCACCGTAAAGTGTTGGTACGCAGAATTTTATTGTGGCCGTATTTCTCTCCATGACGAGATTCGTAAAGATCAACCCACAACTGCCATCACTGAGGAAAATGTGGCTACTGTCAGACGACTTATTTAAGAAGAAAATGGGCGCATTACGTATAAGAAGACTCAAGGACATTTAGTAAAAACGGTTTTAAAAAAGTTATGTAGATTTCTTTCAAAAGCAGTAAATATATTAGTCCACACATAAATTGTTTTGTTTTTGAGGTACTCTAAACTTTATGTAATGGGTCGACTCGATCAGGAAAGGACGACGATATCACAGAATATCAGCGTAAAATAGCAAGCTTAATGCTAAACACAACAGTGTTTCGTATGGTGAGTGTAGAACTGTAGACCCTTTGTACTGAAAAATGGGCATTTCAACGCATCTACACTTTGATTCTTAATCGAGGAAATAGGTGCCTATGGGCCACAGCATACACTTAACATCAGGTGGACTGTATGCTCTTTTGTATCCAATCGAAAAAAATATATCCATACGCCACCACTTACATTCTCGCCGTCTGTTACAAAGTGGTGGAACTCTTCCACCTAGGAGTTCGTCTGGGTAAGTACCTACCACCAAGAGGGTTGTATACCTATATCTGTCGCTAGCAGCAACCTATAATGCTGTGTTCCGGTCTGGTCTGAAGGGTATCAGGAGTCAATATAGCCTATAAGGCGTTTCATCTTAGTCCGCAGAGATGACAACGCATCTGCGGCCTTCTTTGTTTGAAGTTGGGTGCAGGTGTCCTTGGGCTGCAGTAGCCACTCACCATCAAATAGATAACTTGGTTTGTCACTTTAATTTTATAAAAAGTCTATCCAGCCGGTACATCATACAATTCTTTTTCCAAAAACCCCACACACCCCCTTTTATTATTTTATTTTTTTTTAATAATTTTTTTTTTTTTTTTTTTTTTTTTAATATTAAATAATATAAATAATAATAAAACAAAAAAAAACCACACATAACAACCTTACATCCATTTTTTACAAACTTACAATGTATTTTTTTTTTTAGGGTTATTATTTTTTAATATTATTTTTAATAAATAAAATAAAAAAAAAAAACAAACTAGCGCACCTATAATGTAACTTGCATACAAATATATAGCTGTCTACCTAGCTATATGTCACAGCCTAACATGTTATGAAACTTAGCAAAAATAAACCTAGATATACTATCTTGACCTCCTGGTATCTACAACTACTTTGAATCAGTACGATGAAATTGTGCTTGTACATTTTTGAAACATTGGTTTTGTTTATTATTTAGATAAAATAACCATAATTCATCTGCTAACAAGAGAACATTATGTTGTCTAAGTTTTTACTCTATTAAGTAATACAATGAATTTTATGTCAATGGGAAAATGAAACAATGACAATTCTGTAACGTTCCTAGAAGCATGCATAAAACAAAACAGTCAAAATCAATGTAATATTATTGCAAAGAAGAAGGTATTCTGAATCTTTAGAAGAACTATTTAAAATTGATTTCATCTAAAAGCTACCTATCAAAGTCCACTGCTGAACAGCCTGGAAATTGCGTCATCATAAGCCTGATATCTGCCATAGTTGCCACACTTGGCAAGCAGATAGACAACTGCATTTTTTTATTGTCAAGTTTTCATGAAAAAGATACTGCTTCCTGTCTCAACGTCCCCCTGATACCTCTTATAACATCAATAGGATGACATGGGGTACTGAGCTCCCTTACTGGCTACTATATAGCAGAAGCAATTATAACACATAACAAAAAGAAAAGAAAAGAATTGTAGGTGGCTCCTTAGTGATTTTTGAGCAACCAATGTTCATCAAATTTACACTATAATAGCAGATTATAATATGAATTCCTAATTGTATAATCAGCATTCATTCACTTCATGAGTAGAAAGCAAGCACAACTATCTTCCAGACCTATCAACTAGTAGAATTAATAATCATTAAAAGAATCACTAGAATGCTATATGCTTATATTTCAGTTACTAAAAGTATCAAGATTATTTTAACCATGCAAAATATGTAGGTATAAGTTGATACGGCTACAAGGCACATAATTCAAAATTCAGCCAAAGTTTTTGTCCCGCAGCAGATATAATATTTGTAATACTGTGTCATTGTGATTACCTCTTCTCTATGAATTAGCATACCCAACCTCATAACAATTACACAGAAAAAAATTGGAAATTTAAAAAATGTGTATATATTTATGTGTATAAAGTAAAGTATGCTTGATATGGACATGAAAGATACCTACCATAAAACTTTAGCTTAATGAGGTGTGCAGAAAATAATTAATAAAAATTAGTGCATAAACCAGACTAGACGATTTAGTTTTCCTGTACCATGTTTATCTTAGCATAAAGTAAGTATTGTTGTCAAGCTTTGTTAAATTGAAACTAACGAAGCATTGAAATAAAATAATTGTGTTTAAAAGTAAGTACTTTAAGGAATACTACCAATTGGCTAAATAAATAAATTATGAATTAAATTGTATGTGTGTGTGAGTGTGCATGATATTATGTGAATAATATTGTCTATAGAATAACACAACTTTTTTCAAATGTTGAGAATTAAAAAAATATGATATAAAAGTAAGTTATTTTAGCATAACAATCTCAAAAAAGTACCTACCTAGAAATTTTAAATCAACATCAATAAAGCGGAGCAATAGCTGAAGTGCAGTATCTGATACTGTGTGTATTGCAAATCTGCTCCACTTATTATATATGTTTATATATGTATACCTATTATATATGTATCTATTACAGAATTTATGACCAGTTTCATATGAATTTAATCATGCAAACTGTTGGGAGTTTGACAACAAAAATTTCTTAAAAACTGAATGTGATCTCCTCTTAAATGGAAATGTAATTGTAAAATATTATACATAGTGTATATAGATTAGATCTAAAAGATGGATGATCAAAAAATATTTTAGTAAGTTTTTGAACATGCTGTAATGCGACCATCAAGCCAAATGTAAAATATTTAACATGTAGTGCAAGTACATAATATTACTTACACAGGGAACTACTCCTAAATATTATTTTTAATTATACAATAATTATGTTACATATATGCATTGGGGGATATTGGAGAAATACTGATTTGTGTATATATACAACAATGTTTTGATATTATTAAACAATCAAGTTTTCTCGTTTTCTTTGAAATATATAGGTTTTAAGTATGTATGACAATATTCACACCTCTATAAAATATGTTTTTTATTGTAGGTACATTATTTATATCAAATGTATATTATTATAGTTTCAATTAATTTTAATCCTAAATATTATGGAAGTATTTAGTAAGAGAATAATGATTAAAATATTACATGTCTGAATGAGGTGCAATGCGTTCTAAAATTAAGAGTGAGCATGCAGTGTAGCTGTAGTTGCCTCCAGGAGCGCCGATATGCGGACACAGCACCGCCAGAGCCACAGAAATTAGGACCCCAAACACCATCCAGCGTTTCTTACACTCTCGCCACAAATCAACATAATATTCACTACGATTTTTGATAAACAGTTTTCTTGTCTCCTGCATAGGCACCGTTGAAGTCACAACTTCAAGCATATTTTTTTACTGTTAATATAAAGTAATTAAAATAGTAAAAAAAAATTTTTCACACTACATTTACACAAAACTGGTAGGAAGCAAATGGAAGTAAGATGTTTATCAGATTTGGAATCTATCAATAATAAAGAGAAATTAAAGGAATATTATATTTTATAAAACAATTTAAAAAAGCTTAGGTGGCAGGCCAGAATCCTGTAACCTGTAAAAACATATTTTTTGAATAACGCGCATCTGCATTATGACGTCATCGACGTCTACCATAGATACGTCTACACTCTACACAGATTATTATGTATTATGTTTACAGACTAGACATGAGTGATAACATTACGGTGACAAAGTCACCGTAAGCCCCACTTACACTCAGCCTTGTTGGGCAGGGAAGTGAGCAGGGAAGTGGGCAGGGCAGTACGAGGGCGGCACTGAAAATTTCGGGAATCAAGGAAGTGACACAACATTACTAATAAAAAATGTATTTATTGCTTTTCGAAGTATTCTCCGCGAAATTTAACTCATTTTTCCATACGACGGAACCAATCATTGAAGCAACCATTCCATTCGGAAGTTGGGGTCTCCAAAATGCCGTTTTGTAGGCGTCCACAGCTTCTTCAGGTGATGAAAATCTCTGTCCACGCAATTTATGCTTTATTTTAGGAAGAGTATAGAAATCATTAGGGCTTATGTCGGGGCTGTACGGCGGATGGTCTAATAATTCTATGTTTTCTCGCTCTAAAAACTCTTTTGTTCTGTGTGCGGTGTGAGAACTCGCATTGTCGTGATGGAGAATCATGCGGCGGTTGCAGTTCTCTTTACGGAGTTCAGAAACGACCTGTGGCAAACAAATGTTAGCATACCATTCTGCATTAACCGTTCTTTGTCCCTCAAGAGGAATAGTCGTAACATGGCCGGTTTTGGAGACAAACGTGGCCACAATTTTTTTTTTGCAACACTCCGTGAACGAACAATTTTTGTTGGCTTTAACTCATTTTCGAGCACCCAAACTCGTGACCGGTTATTTGTTTCGGGTTCGTACGCGTATATCCAGGATTCGTCACCTGATACGATGTTGTATACAACGTTTGAGGATGCTGCGTGGAATCTTTCGAGAGTTCTGACGCACCAAGTAACGGGAGCCGCTTTTTGCTCTTCACAGAGCGAATGCGGTATCCATCGGGAAAACAACTTTTTTTACACCTAATTGTACATGCAAGAATATTTGCATTTGACTCATGCCAATATCTAAAGTTGCCTGAATTTCACGGTATGTCACATATCGATCTTCCTCAGCTTACGCACAGCATCAACGTTTTCTTAGGTGACTGCAGTTTTTGGACGACCTTGACGGGGATCGTCACTTAGCTTGACACGTCCACGTTGAAATTCAGCAAACCAGCGATAAATTGTGGTTTTGGATGGAACTTTTATCACCAAATGCAGAAGTCATCCGGTCAATACAGTGTTTTTGTTTTAAACCACTTTGAAAGTCATAATAAATCATCGCTCTTGAATTTTCTCGAGTCAATTCCATTTTCTCAACACAAACAGTTTGCAAAAAAAACGCTCTTTATGCACAGGCTACTCGCGCTGTCACTGCTCATGCCGCTGCCACTGCCCGACGCTCCCTCGATTGTCGGTTTTTCGTGCAGAAGTCAAAGGACGGGCAGCGCAAGCGGCAGTGAGTGTTCACGTTCTGCTCCGACACTCACTTCGTGCTATATATTCAGTAATCTATGCTTCGCGCCAAGCGCCTGGACGAATGGACGTGCGTGCCGTCTTGTATTTAAATCAGTACGATCTGCCAAAATGTCTTTCGAGTGGAGTAACGAAACTACAATCAAGTTTTTAGAACTGCTGGAATCAGATAAAACTATATGGGATTTCAACGATAAAAACCATAATTCATCATCTTCTACGAAGACGAATTTTCTTTTTGAGATAACATAATACCTATGTACATAATTAATTATAAATTCGTCAAATTTATTATATTAATATAAAATTAATTTAAGGAATTAATGAACATTGACATTTTATTTCTAAAAACAATTTGTAACTCATATTGATTATTTAAAAACCCTTAAAACCCTTGTAAAATCACCCAATGGTAAAAAAAAAGTACTCGTTGTCAGCGCGCGGCCCCCCCAGGCGCATATTAAGTTAAATAGTAATATTTGGATAATAGTCTGATATTTGTAAATTATAATTTTATTGTAATTAAAATTATGAATTAATTTATACTGTGGTGTAATTATTAAAATAATAGTAGCTTAACTAATCTCATATAGCCAATATTATTTATGTAACAATAATGTAATAATTCAATTAATAATTTATGAACAATTTACTATATAAGAATTCAAATAGAGTGGATCTGTATAAGTATTTAATTGTACATAATATTTGAATTCAAAAATAATGTTTGCACATTACTTTTAAGCAATGAAATAATTTTAAAATGTAACATTGGGTTTGTGTAGTTAGCTGTATTTCATTATTTCGTATAACTTTTGCATGCCAATTATGGCAAAACATGTCAATTCCACGTCATTGATCATCTTATGTACCATGTTTTTAAGCAAATATAACACAATTATAATGATCGTAATAGCTCAAGTGGATAACGTACTGTCGCGAAATCGTAGTGCCCTGGTTCGCGTCTTGTCTTAGGTTTGACTTTTTCCCTTTTTTTTTCAAGTTCCCTTGTTTTGTGAGAAAATCTATTATTTCGAGCCCCTTTTTTAGTATTTTTTTAAATACGAAAATTTTATTGCACTCATGATTTTTCATTCTAATAAACAGTTCAGTTTTTTCTATTATTTCAGTAAGATCAAAAAATATTCTTCATATTTTATCAGTATACTAAATATAACTTCCAAAACACACGATGTCCAAAAAAAATACTGAGCAATGCTCGGTCATTCAGGTACTATAGAATATATATACAAATCTTCGTTATATCAATTGGTTGCGTTTGGAACATAAGATCTAGAACACTAAAATGTACAAAAATTTACTTATCTTTTTATTTCGATGTTATCTTTATATTCCTGGTAGAATTGGCCGACGAATATGAAAAATATAACTCAGATTAGAATAAGCTATTTATTTATAAACAATAAAGCACGGAACAGAAAAAAGGATTTTATGTAAACTGAATTATATTTGTTTCTGAACGTACCATAACCGTGAACTTGAGCTCTACAAAATATAACAAACTAATAATGTGTGTCTATCTGAAACTGTTTGCAAAATGAGTAAAGAGTGTTTAATGTATCCAGGCAAAACCATATTTAGCAAATGTTTGCAAGTTTAATTTTGTGACAACTTTGGTAGTGTACCGATTTATAATAATTGTATTTAATGTTGACCAAAAACATATTCAAACACATTCATATATGAAACACTGACACGTATGACGTAGGTATGTAATCAGTATTGTGACGATATTTCAGAAAAATCACGGGCCAGCCTGCTGTTAATAATACTACCTACCGAAAACATAATTGCGTTTTTAGAATAATTAATTACTATACCTACGATAAATTACAATATAGTCTCAAATATATACTAGAGAAATTTTGCAATTCGAATCAATGAAAACATACACACAAAATATGTATAATACACAAGAAATTTCGCGCGCAAATCATTGCGCGTGACAACCGAAATCAGAATATATTTTATAACCATAGATAATTAAATACCTACGTAGTTTATAACAAGTCAAACAAGCGAACGAAGTTTGACAACGCTTTTGTTTCGTCAATTCAAGGTCAGGAATACGCATAGATAAATAAATATGTAGAATACGTTATGAATATGTATAGTGCGCGCAAGATAACTGCGCGCGACTGATGGCGTGCTTAATGTTGCCAGCTTTACTAATATTTTTTCCTTCGTTTAATCTTATTACTGGAATTGTATAATTATATCAAATTACATAAATTACCTAATTGATTACCAAATCTCAATTAAAAAAACTGTAATGTTCAGCCTAAACTTACAAAGACCTAATAATTTTTTAAACCCCATATTTATTGTTTAAGATCCGCGTAATAAATATATTTCTTTATTCTAACTTTCATAAGTTTGATACCTCACTACACAAGTTTAACTACGCCAAAACAATTTTTTAACCCAATTACCTATTATATGTGTGTATAAAAAGGACTAATACTAAGATTAATGACTACTGATATTTTGTCTATAATAAATTTTTCCAAAAAGGTATTTTGAAACAACTGAAATAGCATTATAATATTTATTATAAAGAACGAAATAAAAAGTCCAAGGAAACCTTGTAAATCTTTTATTGAATACCTATTATTATTTATAAATTTGGTGTAACAATGGTCCTGCAGTGGATCAACGCCATCCATTCGCATATCTTGATCAGAATCCATGCTAGAGTCTTCATCAGATGACTCGGATGTGTCACCTGTAACATTATTTACAAATTCATCCATTTCCATATCCATCAGCCTATCTGATTGGAAATATTTATCTTCTATTTTTTCTACATGTTGGCATACGTTGGACCATTCTTCTGTCGTTACTGTTCTAAACGCCGCCTCAGTAATAGCAGCTATGTCGCTAGGAGCTTGAGTGATATTTTTCTCTGCAATGCGTCTCTTTACTATTGCCCAAATTTTTTCTATGGGATTTAAATCGCAGTGGTAAGGCGGCAAACGGAGAACCTCATGTCCATATTCATTTAGCATTTGATCTATTTCGTACTGTGGGTCTCCTTTGTATTTTTTAATTAATTAGTATAATTGCGCTTTTTGTCCAACAGTCTTCAAATGTAATACCATTTCTCGTAAGCCATCCTTGGAGCTCTGCTTTTGTATTGCCAATTGTAGGCGCCTTGTTGATCTGTGTGCAGTGGTATGACGCATTATCCATCACTACAATGCAATTCGTTGGAAGATTCGGCACAATTTTTTCTTTCATCCACCGCATGAAGTTAGCTGAATTCATATCGTCATGATAGTCAT